CCCCAAAACCCCAAAACCCCAAAACCCCAAAACCCCAGGGGTAATACCGAATGTTGATAATAATACTCTTGAATTATTACAAAGAATCAGAAGCAAATAACTTACTTCCGAGTTGTAAAATTTTAGATTTTTGAAATGAGTCCTCACTCGCTTTACGATGGAGCTTCTCTTGCTTCATCCTTTTTCCATAGGAAGCAAGATTGTATTTTTGGGAAACAGTCGCATTTTCATTAAACTTCCTCCTTTCTATGGATAAGTCATACCCGCTTCTTTCAGAATCGTCTGAGAAATAATGGATATGTCTTGGAGGGAGACCATCAAGCCTCAGTTCGGGGACTATAGAGAACCTCTTCTGTTTCATCGGAGGTCCATCTGTGATGTTCATAATAGAAGTAGTATCAGAAATAACCTGTTCTCTGCTGACTGGGAAGATCCTCTCAGATAGAGACATGAGCTTTCGCGTTTCTTCCTTCTCTCTTTCATCCCTTGATTCATCATCAAAATATTTTGAAAACCGTTTAGTTGGTATTTCTTTAATTTCTTCTTCAAATATTTCACCCACAGGAAGCCCTTTCTCTTTCATCACATAAAGGAAGTACATGAGCTTGTTCTCTCGTTGCTTACAATAATCAACTTCATCCTTGAATTCTTGGATGACTTCCTTCATTTGTTTATTTTCCTTGTTGACAACTTTGAGTTCCTTAAGCAACCGTTTCTCGTTTCTATCAATTTCATCCAAATCGACTCCTCCATTACAACGTAGCTTCTTAATTTCTTGATTTAATTGATCGATCTTTTGCCTTTGTTCATCAATTTCAAATTGGTTCTTCTTGTTTTCAGTTGTGAACTGGAACTGCAGTGTATTTATCTGGTCCAAAACATCATTAATAGGCCCATCAAGCTTGGTCTTCATAGTCTTGATGGTCTTTAAATTCCTTTCAGCATTTGCAATGATATCTTTAATCTGGGTGTCATAGTTGCTCTTCATAAGATTCATTAATCATCGGAGATTATCGTCCTGAACCAAGGTAAGTCACTTTTGAAACTCTTCCTGCACCATGGAGTGCCTTGATTTTAAATTCTTGACTTCCTCAAGATCGAATTCATACCTAGGATTATTAAGCATTTCATAGATATTGAGCTTTAACTTCTCGTGATCGCTCCTCTCATGCATCTTAGATAAGTTTTCACTGTATTGCTGATTTCTAATGGTAAATTCAATCTGCTTCTTCTTGAGATCTTTTTCAAGAATCTTTATCTTATTATTTAACGACTTTTCAATGTTGTCCTTAATAATATTCACTATCAGTTTATCCTTTGAGCCAAGAGGCTTCTTTTCAATAGATTTAGTATCTTTTCGAGATTGTTGAATCGAAACTAGGTCCGAGTCTAAATTCTTCCTCTTTCTCTTAGGAGTCTCACTGTTAAATTTGTAATGAAGTCCCTTGATTTTAGTATTCTTGCAGATCTTCTTCAGTAGCATTGAATTTGATTGAGGAATTTGGGAACTACCGATAGAGGATAAGTTCATTCCGTCCAGGGTCATGTTATTGCGACTCTTCTTAGTGATGAAAACTGGTTTCTGATTAATTTTTCCGTTACGAACCTTGTTCCTGCTCTTTGACTGACTAAAAGTTCTGTACCTATCAAAATTTGTAGCACTCATCTTCTTTTTGATCAGCCTGTTATTCGAAATATTCTGCGGTGTCGAGTAATCAGAGTTATAAAACAAAAGGGTCGAGTTCTTCTTTTTCTTACAAGGATTTTTAAAATCCTCTGGAACTAAGCTTAAATTATGAATAGCCTGCGGAGAAGGAGCTCTTTCAACAAAAGATCATCAGTACTCCTTCCCTATCATACTTCTCCTCTTATCAAGTATTTGATTTTTCTCAGCTATGCCAATTTTATATCAAAATTCATGCACCAATGCTTCTAACCTCCAAAAAATCCTTCTTTACGCATTAAAATAGAAAATTTACCAACACAGAAAACCAACTGCTGATTCGTCAAAAGTTAAGCAAAAGTAGAAACTTTTGGAATAGGTTGGGTCGAAGAAGGGAGAATTGACTAGACTGGGAAAGAAAGAAGTTTGGAATTATTTTAGATGGGCTGTTTAAGTAATTTTAGAGGGGTTATAAAGGTTAAGAAGAAACTAGGGGTTAGAAGTACCTTTTGGAGGTTTATAGTTTATAAGTCCGGTGGTAAGCTTTTCGGGTAGTTTGGAACCTTGAGCAAAGTTCGTGGTAGAGTTCAGGAAAGACTATAGGATCAGTTAAATAAATAAAAACTCAAAAATAGAAAATTTACATGGTTGTACTATTGAACTTGGGCTGGAATTCCCAAAAATCGAGCTTACATTAATTATTTTGATGTACAGAATATACTTGTTCATTTCTAGACTTCTTCTGTTTATTTCCTTATACCAACACCAGTATTTCGGCGGACCTTGAGGATTGAATTAGTATTTTTATTTCTTCAACATGGCAATAGTCTTTTTCTTTTTCATCACAACCTTACTCTCTTCTTTTCAAGACTCTTTTCGCTTGCCCTTAGAATTCTGTTTGCTCAAAGAGTTGCCTAAGTTCTCAAACGAATTCAGACTAATAAAGGATGCTTTTGTTAGGGATCCATCTGTTGAATTCCTCTGGTTCCTGAATCCAGGATCAACATTCAAGCTCTTTATCAACTCTTTTGCATTAATAATTCCTAAAGGAATGAATAAAATCTGGATGATCTCTGCCCTAAATGCTGATTAACAGCCAAGGGAGATCTTTTAACCTACTTTTCTTATTATTCTTAGTTGACATTTATAAAAATTATATAATTCTATGCCATGATCAAGGTCTGGGGTTTTGGGGTTTTGGGGTTTTGGGGTTTTGGGGTTTTGGGG